CCGGGCGGAGGGCCCCCCCCCCCCCGCCCAGTGCACAAATTTTTGTGCGCCGGGCCTCTAGTTTTCTATAAAAGAATAGTCAAGCTTACAAAACAACACATGACTAAAAACAGAGGCAAGTAACATTAGAAACAGACCCATAGGAAATCCTGATATTGGAGTTACCAGGCTTTAAAATAATTGTGATTACCTGGCTGGTGTGGTTCAGTGGATTGAGCCTCATCCCAGGCACCAAGAGGTTACCATTTTGATTTTTGGTCAGGGCTCACGCCCAGGTTTCAGCTTGATCCCCAGTAGGGGCCGTGCAGGAGGCTACCAATCATGTTTCTCTCTCATCGTTGTTTCTAGCTCTCCCTCTCCATTCCTTTCTCTCTAAAAAATCAATGAAAACATTTTTTAAAGTAAAATAATCGTGATCAGCATGTTCAAGCAATTCATTGACAAGATGGATGACCTTAGCAAAGAATTAGAAATTTAAAAGTGGAAATTCTAGATAGAATTAGTGAACCATAAGAGGGATCAGAAGTAAACAGATAGACAAAGGTTTAGAAAATACAGAAGAAGAAAAAACTAAGAGAAATATGGAATAATGCGAGGAGGTTCAGTGCATTTCTAATTGGAGTCCCAGAAGAAATGGAAGTGAGATATTAAAGTTTCTGAAAAGAGATGAAAGATATCAAGTCACAGAATCAAGAAGCACTTTGATCCCCAGGGGAAGATGAATACAGAAAGCCATAAATAAACATATGCTGAGACCTAAAGATAAAATGACAAATTTTAAAGTAAGCAGAAGTAGGAGAATTTCCAGGTACTGTTAATTGGACATGAAATATGCTTGCTGAAGAAACTGAAGACTGAGAAAGGCTATTTGTTTTTGCTTACAATAAAGGTGTGTTTGTATACTGACATCTTTTATATCAGATACAATGATAGGCATATAAAAAAGTTCAAATGGGTCCATTGAGGCACGGATGGCCCATGTTAGTAATTTCGTATACTTTTAGAACTTGTGTGTTAATTTTCTGACCATGGTAAACATTGGTGTGGTATCTAAAATGAAGAAGTGTCACTTTGCATCACTGCTTCCAGTCACCGTGCCATGATGCAACCGTTTACTATTATGGCCTCACAGGTAGATTGTAGGAGCTTTGTGGCCTAGGATCTAAATCAGGCCTTTGGCTGCTCTCATCTGTCTTCACTTATCCTTGTCCCTCTGGTACTTTTCTCTCTCCCTCTAAGCATTATTTTCATCAATATTCTTTTCCAAAGAGTCCCCGCCAACCCACTCCCTGCTATTTTTCTAGGCCCTTTTCTTCTAAAATCAACTTTATAGTGGTCTACATACCTTGGTACCTAAATATTATTGACAGAAGGTTTGGGTTTATATATACACCACAGGCTAAACTGATAAAGACAAAGCTACCCAATTGATTCCAGTGTAGAGTGGGGGAAGTCTGGAAACAATGAGATGTAGTGTGTTAATATGCACATTTCACTGATGCCACCAGTAAAATGTTCTGGCCTAACTAGGATAGAACATAGTAAGGACTAATATTCAGGGAGGCAAGAGCCACTGATTTAAGACCTTCCATGTATTAAAGAGAACCATCAACAAAAATATTTGTCTCTGAAATAATTTTCCTTATTTAAATTGTATTGTGAACAATTTACCTAAGATGTTGGATTTAAAGTTCCCTATGACACACAACTTTTTAGGCAGAGTGTGCAATTTTAAACATTGCTCATCCTTTTTGCCTTTTTAAATTTTTACATATTGGCTAACCCTGGGCCAATTATTAAACCTGTGTAATCATCTGTTGAGATTGGAAAGAACCTTGAGCTTATTTTTTTAATCTTTTCTGGACTGAGTTATGTTTCAAAGTATCAGCACGAAAGAAAACCATAGATGGCAAACAACTAAAACTCCTAAGTACGCTTGGCCTTAAACAACAAAAGTGTGGTTTTATTTTGATTGTTTTGCAGACTTTTTACTTTTGTAAAATCTAGAATAGCCAGCTTTATCAAGATCCACCTATTTTTCATTATTTCAAGTCTTTTATGACAGTTCTTTGAATGCCTTATGTCTCCTTCAATTCTAGGTGAAGAAATACTGCCATATTTTGCAATGATTGAATTCTTTAACTCTGGGCAGTTTACATTTAAAGTAACTGAATTAAAATAATACTGAATATAAACTGTAATTGGAAAATAAAATTTAGTCCAGTGGGTGTGGCTCAGTGGTTGAGCGTCGACCTATGAACCAGGAGGTCATGGCTCGATTTCCGGTCATAGCACATGCCCAGGTTGCTGTTGCCATCCCAATGTCGGGTGTGCAGGAGGCAGCCGATCAATGATTCTCTTTCATCATTGATGTTTCTCTCTCTCTCCCTTTCCCTTCCTCTCTGAAATCAATAAAAATATATTAAATTTAAAAAGACTTTAAAAATATATTTTAAAAAAGAAAATTTAAACTTTAAAAATGCAAAATAAAATAACTGCATTAGATTTTGACTTTGAAGTCTCCAATCTTTAGTGTTTCTTCACGTTCTGTTTACTACTATGAAGTCATCCTGGCTATACCTATGTCATAGAGGTTTAATTCTGGATTCAGACTCTGGGTTCAAATGGTGACTTTTCCACTCACTACCATTCTGTGCCTGTTTCCTCGGGAGCTAAACTAGAGAAATTAAAAGTGTTTATAATAGGTTTGAAGTAAAGATAAGTGCCTTAGTACATGTAGGGTATGTAAAACAGTGTGGCTGACTAGATGGCCACTCATCTGAATTGTCTGATAGCCTTTCTAATCCAGGAATGCCAGGTGAAAAGATTGATTTATACATGACAGGTGTCTTAGGGGAAATGCAGAGCCTACCTGGGGCCACACACTTGTCTCAGTCATTGGCATTTATACACCTAACACTGAAATAGATTTCAGCCCCCCCACATTCTGGCATTTACATAGATGTATTTTAATTCATCCCTTCCCCCACTCCATTTGAAACTTTGGCCTCACCTGATTTCTGAAAAATGTAATCAGGGACAGTCATCAGTATAATCTCTTCTTTGCAAATGACCTTTTACCCAGCTTAATTAATAGCTTACCTTTTGGCAAGTGGTAACACATAGCAAATAAATCTGGTTTACTATTGTGTCTCTTGTGGGGGAAACTCAATAACCCTTTGTGTAGCTGTCAGCAATCCTTGCTTAGGGTGTGTTCCATAACCTGGAGCCTCCCATATTCATCTCACTTCCTGTCAGGCCACTTGCTCCTCATAACAAACCATGTCAGAGGAGATGTATTATTTGCCTTTGCTTCTAGTCAACAAAATAATGTAGATTATCTCTAGTGCATTTTTTTCCCTTAGGTACTTTTCCTTTCTATTGTTATGGCTAACCCAAAATAACACAAATTTCTAAATATTCTCAAAATAACTTTTTCCTTCGTGCTGTTACTACATCACTAAACTAACCCTGGTCCATGGGCACTGAGGCAACTGCATTTCTCTTCACTCTTAAAACTCTTAAAACTTTGTTTTTCAGCACAAACCAAATTTATCAGATATACTGGAAGTGGCTTTATTTGATATAAATGAAAGTTTCAGATCATCCAAGTTTTTTTTTTATTACTTTGATGGTCTGAACCATTTAAATCCAATTTACTTGGTCTAAAGCAGTGGTTCTCAACCTTCCTAATGCTGCGACCCTTTAATACAGTTCCTCATGTGGTGACCTCCAATTTCATTGTTACAAATTGAACATAATTAAAGCATAGTGATTAATCACAAAAACAATATGTAATTATATGTGTTTTCCGATGGTCTTAGGCGACCCCTGTGAAAGGGTCGTTCAACCCCCAAAGGGGTCGCGACCCACAGGTTGAGAACTGCTGGTCTAAAGGGAAATGGCCTCTAGAAGCAGTGTGTATAATATTCCAGACCCCCTAGCGTCTATTTTTCTTATTTACAAAAAAAATCACTTTGGAACTTGGCTATTTCCTGTTCCCTCTGAACATGCTGTTTCTTTTTGTGGCGATGGCCTTCACCTTCTGCCACTGTAGCAGGGAAGTGCTTTCTTGGGGACCTGCCTTCCCAAAGGGGCCCCTTCATCCCTTCCTGTGGATGGCCCCCACACAGATCATGACACTTCCTGAGCATCCCTTCCTAACATCCCCTTTGGGTGTGCTCGCTCACTATACCACACAGCCTTTCCCTTCCAGTGGTTGGGTGAGCAGCCAGTAACCAACTGAGCCACTTTTCCAACTAGGTAGCAGATATGTGGCCAGGTAAGGAAGAGTCATCCTGAGCATAATATGGGTCTACACCTGGTCTTGTTCCGATGGAAATGCCATTGAACCAGAGACTCTGACTGGACTGCTTTTGTTCACCTTCTACCCCATGTCTCTTCTTTTTCTGCACTCACATGTGTAGAAAAACGTTCATTCTGATGAACTTGCCCAAGTGAATGAGCTACCATTCCTTAAGTGGTCAACAAGAGAACACAGACTTTGAATCTGGCCATCTCTAGCATGAATTGCCATTATTTCTCCTAATGCTCCAGCCGCTCCAGTTTCTCCTGGCCCTTCAGATCCAGTTGCCGTTGTTCCCTCTGGCTCTTCAGTTCCAGCTGCTGGCCCTTCCTCAGGTATTGGTGCACTGGCTGTTGCTCACTTCCCAGCCTTCCAACTCAGGCATACTGGGGGAAATTGACCACTGCCGCTGGACCTGGATCTGGCACTTCTTCTGATCATTCTCAGAAATTACCTCCACAAGGGGCTTAGACTTCCAGCTTGGGGTCTTCTCTTTGGCTTTGGGTCCTTTACTCTGCAAATCTAATTCTGCCATCTTAGCTTCTTTAATGAGTTCTAATTTTTGTGTGTTCTTAATTTAATTAATTTTGAGCATTTGTGAATTGCTTGGTAGTATACCAGCCACTGACATTTTCTTTTCTCTTTGGCAGTCTTACTAATTCATTGTATGTATTCTAATTGTCTTAAGCTCGTGGGCCATAAAAAAAAACACACAAAGGAAATATTAGGCCAGCCCTCTGTGATCATGGAATAATGGAACGAGAGGGATTTTAGAGAGCATCTAGTTCAACTGCCTTATTTTATATTTAGGAAATCCAGGTCACATAGCTTCTTGGTGGCAAAGCCAGAAGACATAGAACTTTGATCTCCTGATTTCACACCCAGTGTTTTGACTCTTTTGGGGGGCGGGGGGGCAAGGAGTACATTCTGCGGATACCACTGTGGATACTTCAAGCTTTCAAATGAAGAGTAAAGTGCCCAGTTACTTAAGTGTTCCTTGTCAAGGAGCACCAGAGTCACAGAGCCACTGGGACTCGGGGAATTGCCTGATCATCATTACCTGTCTTAGTTTTGTTTTTTAATAAATGACTGAAACAAATCCAGTATGCTAAAGAACATGCCCTAGAGAAGAGGTTCTCAAGTTCTAGTATAATACTGAAGAACATGGGATGTGGTTTTTTAAAAGTATATTTTTATTGATTTCAGAGAGGGAGAGAGAGATAGAAAAATCAATGATGAGAGAATCATTGATCGGCTGCCTCCTGCATGCCTCCTACTGGGGACTGAGCCTGAAACCGGGCTTGTGCCCAGATCGGGAATTGAACCATAACCTCCTGGTTCATAGGTCGATGCTCAACCACTGAACTATACTGGCCGGGCGAACCTGGGATGTTTATAACAAAAGTAGAAACACTCAGGCCTTCCTTGCCTAGACCTGCAACCAGAATCCTGCAAGGTGGGGCCTCATATGTGTGATTTCCAAGTTTTCCAGGTGGTTCTGGTGTGCTTTCTGAGTAAGAACAACTGCTGTGGAGTCTAGCAGTGTTTCTTAAAAGAAGTGTATTTCTGTGCCCCCTTCCCAGACCTATTATCCTAGAATTTCTGGGTATTGGGGTCATCTTTAAGCTCCCTAGTGATTGTTATATCCATTAAAATATAGAAGAATGCTGATCTAGAAGTCTTTGAATCATTCAACAAAAGGCCCAGAGCAATGGCTTTCATTTCTCTTGTTCATTTCCCTTGGCAAGAAATATATTTTGCATCATGATTCAGCAAACCCACAGAACTAAAACAAAAGTTTCACAAGTCAATACTTATCCTACCAAGTTCAGTGAGCTCTGATATTTTCAACTCTAATCCATCCTATTTCATTATTTAAAGTAGGTCATCCAAACTCATTAAATTGCTTTTAAACCCCTAACCCACTGTAGTTTAAAAAACTGAGGGTCAAGGTATTAATTCTAACTCACAGATTTAATACTTTTCCCTCAAATTGCTCTACTTTTCCCAATTACTCCTGTTGAGCCATTAATACCTGCTTGCCCCATGAGGAAAATCCACTTTTGTCACAGTCATACAATACTTCCACTGTGTAAAAAGTGGACTGCCCTTGTTCCCTGGACATGGGACATCTTGCCAACTCCATGCTGCTGCTGCTAATGGCTGTATTAATCACAGTGCAAGTAATAGAAAACTCAGCCACACTAAAAGAAAAAAAATTAAGTAATTATTTTGCTCATGGAACCAGCAATCCAAGGGTAGCTTAGTTCAGGTGCTGATTTATTCCAGACTCAGTCACCTGGATCCCCACAAGTCTCTTCCTGGGATGGCTCCAGATGTGGCCGATTACATTCTCTCTTCATGTGGGCAGCCGGCCCCAGCCACACACTGCCAATCTGAGCTCAGAAGAGGGACTCCTGCATACTGAGCACAAATCTCAGTTGGGCTGACTAGACCACATGCTCTCTCCTGAACCAACCACTGGGGTCAGGACAGGATACTGGAGCTGGAGGTGGGGTAGAATCTCAGGCAAACCACATGGCTGAGGACGAGAGAAGGGTGATTGCCTAAAGAGAATTGGAGATACTTCTCCCAGGAGCAAGATGAATGGACGCTGGGCAGCAAATGCAGATGTCATCTGTAGGCCGTGCATGTCCATGGTTTCCTCTTTGCCTCCCGTTTCCTTGGTTGTGATGAGCCTTTTCCTGATGTGTTTCACACCTGTGGAAACCAGTAGAGTGTCCTGAAGTTCCTGGTTTAAATCTCATGTACAGTAGCCACTGTCAAAATCTAGCACAGACAGCACTCAAGGGAAATGACAGTTTAAGTCGTTAGAAATAATTGATTAAAATTCAGTACCTGAATTTCCCTGGTTTTTAAATGAAGAGAAGGAAGGAGTATAGTCACAGGTGACCCAAACTAGACAATAACTGTCAGAATTTGAAGGTGTAGTGGACCAGCCTGTATAATCTTCCCTTGTGTCCTTTAAATAGACTATGGGAGTAATCTGAGCACCATCAGTACCTAAAAATACCTAGTGACCACGAACACATTAAAAGTTAATAAAAGTTAAGTACAAAACTTAAATCCCGCAAATCTCAGCTGATCCTATTGGTTACCTTTCACAATTGCTGTATGTACGTACCATTTAATGCTTTCTCTTTCTCGAGCCTTTTGTCATGAAGCAGAACAGAAATGCTTTCTAATAGGGGATCAGAAAGTGAACAATAGTTATTTAGCTAAAAATAATGTTCTGTTAAAATGGAGATTTTTTTTTTTTTTACAATCCAGCATGGACAAAGAATGGTGAAATAATTATCTTAATGATTCCAGGTTCTTGTCTACTTTGAAAGAATTTAATGTAAATAAGAATTTCATACATAAGAGAACGAATCTTATTTTTCCCTCGATAATAGTATCAGGTTCTCTACTTTGTAACAAATTGTTCCGAAGTTTTCAAACATATGTGCTTTATACACAGTATGGTGATCCTGGGCCGTGCATTCTGCCTTGGCAGCTAGCCTGCTTAGCATTTAGATGTTCTCTGCACTCTGTATACTTAGAAAATCCATATCCAAAACATTTTTGGTTTTTTATTCTATAAAATGGATACAAAATAAGCAAAGAGCACCCTAAGGTTTGTATTTTTCTCCTAACTGGGTTTGTGATTTTGCATAATTAAATTCTCCCTCTTAAATTTATCCTCTAACAATATGCCCATTCATTTCTAATTTTCTAATTTCTGTCTTTTGAAAGCTATAGCATTTTAATTGCTCATGGAAACTAATCAGCCTCCTATCCTTGACAGTGATTAAGAACTGATTTGTTTTTAATGAAGTTTTTCATGTATATTAATTTTTTTATCTTTAGTGTGGCTTGATCTAAGAACCCAGTCTACCGTTGATAATCTTAGTAAAAGAATTCCAGGAAATAACTTTCTCAAGGTAAGAGATCTCTTCAAAAGTATACTATAAGAATGCTCATTTAAAAATGAGAGATTTCACCAGAAGGACTATTTGGGCCTTACATCTGACTGCACCATAGTTATTTGACACAATTTATAGAGTATTGCTCTGCAGATAAATGAGGACAAATCAAGTCATTTCTGTCTTCCTTGCCCTGTGATTGATTGGAGCAATAATATTCCAAGATTGGTTGGCTGGAGGGGATTATAAAGCACCCCTGTGGTTTAAGCCATATTACCCAGGGGGTGCTTCCTGTCATTGAACCCTGCCTTTCAAATCCATCCCTCTTGTTTTCTACTATCCATCAAAGAAAGTTCTGGGTGCTTTTGAGTGTTTAGGCATCTGGATTCAGAGAGAGAAAGCAGAAGACCATTTTATTGACCTCTTTTTTAATTGATTTTCTATGTGAGAAAGAAACATTGATGGCCTCCTGTACATGCCCCAACCGGTAATCAAACCCGGCACCTTTTGGTGTACTGGACAAAGCTCCAACCAACTGAACCACACTGGCCAGGGCCATTTTATTGACCTTTTTTTTAAGCTAAATATTTTTTAATTGATTTTTAGAGAGAGAGGAAGGGAGAGGAATAGAGCAATAGAAACATCGATAGGCTGCCTCCTGTACACCCCTTATTGGGGATTAAGCCCAAAACCCAGGCATGTGCCCTGGCAGGGAATCAAACCGGTGACCTCTTGGTTCATGGGTCGTATCTCAATCACTGAGCCACACCACCTGGGCTATTGACCTCTTTATTGAACACTTCCACTCTCTTCATATGAATATGGCTAACAAAAAATTGCCTAGTTTCCAGTCCTTATGTTGATCTCTCTTCAGGTAAATGAAGGGAGAGAGAATTTTTGAAACAGGCAATTTGTTAGCAAGGTCAAGATCAAATTCCCCTAGTATTCAAAAGGAAGTTCTGTTTTTTATTTATCCCCTTTATATTTTTCCTTATGACAACTTCTTGTGGTTCTTGGTTTTGAAACTGATGTTCAAATCCTATTAATTACAGGATGCATGGAACAGACTGACAGCTCTCAGGGGGTTGGGGGGACCGGATTAAAGAAGATGAAGGGATTAGAGAAAGAACGTATGCATAGCCCATAGACACAGATCACAGTGTGGTGATGGCCAGAGGGAAAGGCGGGTGAGGGAAAGATGGGTGGAGGTGGGCAAAGAGTGGGGGAATGGGGATATCTGTAATAGTGTCAACAATAAAAATAAAAGTTTTTAAAAATCCTATTAATTACAGCAGTTTAACAAACCATTCTCTGCCCCCACCCACCCAAATAACTTCTGGCTACTCCTGAATATACCCTTACCATTTTCTATTTTGTTCTCTTTCTCACCCTGTCCAATCTTCACCCTTATATCCAGCTACATTTTGCTCCCAGGGATGCATGTTTTTCTCTCTAATGCTATTTTAGGCAATTTTTACACTTTCTACCTATGTCATGAAAATGAGATAATGCATAGTACCTGCACACCCCTTATTGGTTTCAGTTTTGTGGGAGAATAATCCCATAAATTATTTCCTTTCATAATGTTTGATCATTTATCTATTTTTTTCTAAGGAAGCTAGAAGCCCTAAGTTAAGATTCTTAACTTACAGGTTGCATTAAAGTATTAAATCCTTTGATTTGAATTTCCTTACCAAACATATCCATAGGAGATAAGAAGGAAAAAATATCACTTTTTGTAGTTGGGTGATAAATGAGGAGACCTGGATGGGGAGGGAAAAGATAGTTGGCATTATTTTGATGTGTGTATTTTCTTAATCACTAATAAAAATTTTGATATTTAATATGCAAACAAAAATAAGAGTTGGACGTGATCCATTCTCAAGATTAAGCCATATGTGTTTTATTATTACACTTTAACCTTTATTGGAGTCACCCTCCCTTTGTTTAATTTATTCACTAATCTAGGCAACTACTTCCTTACATAGAGCAGCTCTGTTTTGCTTTAATCTGTGTGTCTTTGAGCTCTACTTTATTCTCCACTAATTTTATACTCTATTATTTGAATATGAATGTGTGTAAATATATATTTATAATATACAAATATACACATAAACATAATGTGAAGTCCTGTGTTTTAGAACAAATTTTTCTGGTTTTGGTCATTAGTTTATAATTTGATATACAATACCCTATGATATACAGTACCCTATGATTACCGATAGTTTAAAGATCACTTTCAAGGAATATAAAATAAAAAGCAGAGCTTTGGACTAGGTTAATATTAAGTCATCACAAAAGTCTAGATTACAGGGTGTCGTATTATTTCATTTTCTCTTTACCTTGCTACGTGGATGCTCTTTGAACTGCAAACGTATCACTCTGATCTTTGTTCATGAGTATGCTTTCCTGTGCCATAATACCATGCATGGAGTTGCCTATTTAGGGCAACTGAATATTTTGTGATTTGTGGGGGGTTTGGGTTTGGTGTTTTGTTTTATTTTATTTTAAACTGTTATGAATTTAATTTGCAATTCTTTTTAGTCCAAGACAGGCCTTCCACTTAGCACTTACTTCAGTGCTGTGAAAGTTCGTTGGCTTCTCGACAATGTGAAAGAAGTTCAAAGGGCTGTTGAAGAAGATAGAGCTCTTTTTGGGACTATTGATTCATGGCTCATTTGGGTATGTTTAAGTAGATGCATGTATGGAAAAAATTTTAAAGGCATTTTTTTTAGACTGCCTTGACTACTATCTGTTTTCTACTAAGAGTTCAAACTTTTCTGTTGGCTGCATTATTCAGAAAAGTCACTGAAGAAATAGCAGAACATTTCAGCCTTCATTCAAGAGGCATTTTTGCCTACTTCATCTTTCCCCCCCCTCTCTTGCATTATATCAGTAAAAATGGAGGATGATTACCCAAACACCTCATCTGTTATCTTTAGAATAAGTAATTTAGGTAATTAGTAATCAGTAATTTAGGTAGCCTGTTTCTCTTGTCTATCATAAAGTTTTCCACTAGGCACTTCTTAGAAGAAATAATTATTTAACATAATAAAACGCCTAGGCTACTTTTATCATTTGCTTTCAACGTTACACAGCTGTCTGTCTTTTATTTAATTAAGTGGTAATATGAAAAATCATAGTGGAAATTTCTGATATATAATCTTTTTGCCTAAGCTGAACATGGATAAATAGAAGCTAACATTTCAAACATTTCCCAGATATATCTTTAAAGTACATGATCTCTCTCTCTCTCGTTCTCTCTCATTTTTATTACTATAAGTATTTTCAAATATACCATAAAATAGAAGGAATAGTATAACAAACCTCTACAACAGTGAGCCAGCTATGGCCAGTCTTGTTTCAACTATATTCACATATTCTTTCCCCGACAGGTAATTGTAACATAATTGTAAAGCAAATCCCAGACATACAATTTTATTTGTAAATACTTCAGTATTCCCTAGCCAGTTTGCTCACTGTATAGAACATTGGCCTGGGGACTGAAGGGTCCCAGGTTCGATTTCAGTCAAGGGCACATACCTTGGTTGCAAGCTCCTCCCCAGTCCAGGCCCTGGTCAGGGCTTCTGCAGGAGGCAACCCATCAATGTGATTCTCTCACATCAATGTTTCTCTCCGTCTTTCCCCTCTCTCTTCCACTCTCCCTAAAAATCAATGGAAAAATATCCCCGGGTGAGGATTAACACACAAAAAATAAATAAATAAAAATTCAGTATTTTTTTTAATCCTCCTGAAGATATTTTTCCTCCATTGACTTTAGACAGACTGGAAGGGAGGGGGAGAGACAGAGAGAGAGAAAAACATCCCCCACACGCCCCCCAATTGGGGCCAGGGATCGAACCTGCAACCAAGCTACGTTCCCTTGGCTGGAATTGAACCCCGGACCCTTGAGTCCGAGGGCCGATGCTCCAACTACTGAGCCAAACCAGCTAGAGCCACTTCAGTATTTTTCAACATTCAAGGAGCTTCAAGGGAATATTGTCCTTATTCATACTAGCCAGATCCTCACAGCTGGTCTTGAAAACCACTACACTGTTCGAAAGATCACTTTACACACACACACACACACACCCTGTGTTAGGATATGCTTTGTGCTCATGGCCAGCAGTTTTCACATGTGTCAGTCACAGTTGAAATAGTTCTGACAGTTTGACAATGGCCTGGAAACAGAGTAAGGCACAATTTGGGAACTGGGAACTGCAGGGCACTTAAGGAAGCATATCCCCCACCGTGATGTCTTTCTCCACTTTTATTCTTTTCTTTCTCTTTTTATTT